GGGGCACGTTCATGTCTTTGAAAGTTCGTAACTTGAAGGTTCGTATGTAGGGGACTTACTGTATTGAGATTTTATGTTTTAACATTTGACAGAGATAGATAGTTGCTCCCCGCCTTACTCCCCTCATTTCAGTCAGTAATCTTATCTACAATAATGTTTATTTTTGTACTGTTAAAGACCCTTATACTTCAGTTACATGATTTGCCAGTTTTAAATGATAACCTTTGAACTCCCAGGTATACAGATGAGGCAGTTGATGAATATATCCTATATCACAGTTTCTTCCCCACAACCCCAATTTTGGTTAGCATGTCATTTCTACATGGCTGTGTAACATTTACATTCTCTTTTTTCACTCTAATCGCCACAGTAGTTTTAGACGTTCTGAAGTTAAATGTATCTGTTCAGCCCCAGTCCTTTTGCTCTAGCATTGCCTGTCTCATGGTTGACTGAGATTCATCTCCCAATAGTTTCCTCAAGAAGGGTCATAGGAACAATATTCTGCGAACTTGTGTATATTCAAAGCTGTTGGCCTGTAAACTTTATGCTTGAAGGACAGTTTTGTTGAATGTAAAATCCTTGACATCCGTTTTCTTTGCTTGCATGTCTTGTAGCTCTTGCTGTATGATCTGCAGGGATTGAATGTTACCGGAGAGAAATTTGAAACTGGTTGATTTTCTTCCCCCATATAAGTGATTCGATCTTTTTACCTTGTTGTCCCCTGTCTCATTAGTAACCACCCTGGGTTAGTTTTCCTTGGCACACAGTGTACCTTTCAAGGGTTCCTCTATCTTTTTTTTATTTTTTAATGTATTTATGTATTTAATTTTTTGACCACAGGGTACATGGGATCTTAGTTCCCCGACCAGAGATCAAACCTGCGCCCCCTGCATTGGAAGTGCAGAGTCTTAACCACTGGACTGCCAGGGAAGTCCCATCAAAGGTTCTTCTATCTTTATAGATTATACTTGAAGGATTTGTTCTATTCCTTTGGCTTAGTTTCCTTTTTTGAGAACTCTAGTTATATATTTATTGATTCTCCTTTTATCTCACTTTGGTTTCTGTCATTCTCTTTAATCTTTTTTTTTGAACTTTATTTTTTTTTTATACAGCAGGTTCTTATTAGTTATCTATTTTATACATATCAGTGTATACATGTCAATCCCAATCGCCCAATTCATCCCAGCATCACCACCCCGCCCTGCTTTCCCCCCTTGGTCTTTAATCTTTCTAACTTCTTTCTTTGTTTCCATCTCACTTCAATTCTCCCTTTCCCTTCCTGTGCTTTCCAAGGTGCCTATTTTCCTTTGTGTTCCTCCCCATTTTGTCTTCATTTCTCTGGATTTTTTTCCCTTCTTCCCAGCTCACATTTCCTCTCTTCCTGTCGTCTCTTCTCAAGTTCTACTTTGTGGTCTTCCTTCACAGAGGCGGTTGCTTCACTTAACATTTTTTAGGGATGAAAAATGGTCATTCTTCTCAATAACAATAATTCCCATGATTCACTTGGGAGAGTCAAGGCTCTCTCCGCTGCTTTACAGAAACAGAAAGCTTCCTGCACACACAGCTCATCTGTGTGATTCTGTATAATTGTAGCCTCACCTCCCTTGCTTCTCTGAACCAAAGAAGCCAGCCCTGCTCACCCCAGTTCCCAAATGTACCGATGCACTTGAGGGTGAGTCCCTGACCCTCAGGAAGTGATTTTCTGCCTGAGCTTTTTGAGACACTGCCCCCAAGAGCGCCCCCCTCCTACTTTCCATGCTTGTTCTCTTCACTTTTTCCCTCCTTGGCTTCTGCCCAGTCTCTGCTGTTTTTGGAAGCCCTTGCATGTATTTTGTTGTCTGGAAATTAATCTCCCTCCTGATCTCACTGAAAACGAAGTCTGAGTTTTTGTTTTTCCTGTTGCTTCTGACCTCAGCCTGGAACATACCATTTCTGATTTTAGGGCAATGAAAAACCTTATTAACTACTGTCCCTATTCGGAAGAGAACAACTACTAAGGTCATCACAAAGGCATTTTGGTTCCTGTTAGCTTGAAGAAAATGAATCAGGGCCTCAGCCTGGAGGTTCTTATAGAAGATATAATAGCAGAGCGCTGTGATAGAAACTTGCAAAAGAGCAGTCTTGCAGGATGTTGAGGAAGCACAGGATATATGGCCCTAGCCAGGCGGGAGCTTGCATGGTGCCCCTCATTCCTGTATCCATCCCCTGGAGATCTGGGGGAGGGGGACCAGAGGACAATTACAGGAGTCCACAGATTACCAGCAGCATGTATGTCAGTGTGAGCATGAAATGTAATTATATGCTTAATTGCAAGTTTAAGTAGATCTTATTTTGACTAAAGACATGAGTGGAACCTAGGTTCAACCTGAGAGATGCAGACCACATTGTATCATGTTCATATATGGAAATTTACATTAACTTATAGAGACTAATAATCACTGAATTGAGCATCTAACCTTAAACAGTTTATCAGCATTAACAATGGAAATGTCACTAGGACTTTGTGTAATTATTTTGCTAATTGTCTTCCTTGCTATGAATGGAACTACTTTCTTAATGAGGTCGGATGTGTGATGTTAGGTCTTAGTAATAAGCAGGCTATCACTTTTATCAGTAAAAGCATTGACTGACTTCTGTACACTCTATAGAATTTTAAAAAAGGGTTGAAGATACCTTACAGAAATAGAGCACAAAGAAATTATAGTAAAGAAGAAAATATTGGGAAGGAAAAAAATGAAAGAACACAAATTGCATGCTGTAAAAACCTTCAGTACTCCTGCTCTGAGCTTTTGGCTCCAAGCTTCCAAGCAGACAAGGCAGAGAGGGAGCCACAGTCAGGGGCGTGAGGCAGACACAGATTACTCAGAAGAGAAGCTCCTTTTGATACTTCCATCAGAGAGAAATTTCCTCCTCTGGCCGATCAAGAGGATACTGTGTGGTATAAACAATGTTGTCAACAACTTCCTGGCAGCATTAATGTTCCTGACAGCTGCTGACTTAAAAAAATGCACAATGTGAGAGTTGAGGGTTAAGTTTTATTTGGGAGAAAATGAGAACTATAGCTCGGGAGACAGCATCTCAGGTAGCTCTGAGAAACTGCTCCAAAGACGTAATGGGGGAGGTCAGTATATATGTGATTTTGGTAAAGGGGGAGTATATGCAATCAAGCACTTTTTTTTTTTTTTTGTGGTACGCGGGCCTCTCACTGTTGTGGCCTCTCCCGTTGCGGAGCACAGGCTCCGGACGCTCAGGCTCAGCGGCCACGGCTCATGGGCCGAGCTGCTCCGCGGCATGTGGGATCCTCCCGGACCGGGGCACGAACCCGTGTCCCCTGCATCAGCAGGTGGACTCTCAACCACTGCGTCACCAGGGAAGCCCAATCAAGCACATATTTTTTTGCAGAAGCTTTCTGCTAGTCTCGTGAAGGTTACTGCTAGTCCCGAGGAGCAGACGTCACCATGAAGTAATTGAGTGCTTTTCTAGATACGAGGAGATGCAAGAATTGGGCTTGTAAAATGGTCACCTGAAAATATTAACTATCTGAAGACCTGTTCTGCCAGTTTTTCCCAGAGCACAGAGGGCTTCATTTCTGCTCTCCACCCTGAACTCCTTTCAGGGGGAGTTGAAAGTCAGCAGCTGCAGCAGCATGTGATTTAGTCCTGGTAGAGGTAGATGGCAAGTGCCAATTTGTAGCTAACATAGCCATTAATTTCTTTCTTCTTCTTCTTTTTTTTTTTTTTTACTTTTTAAAATATTGATTAACAATATTATGTTAGTTGATAGAAGTTCATTTCTTTTTAATTTTTTACTTTTTGGCTGTGCTGTGCGGTATGCGGTATCTTAGTTCCCCGACCAGGGATCAAACCCGTGCCCCCTGCAGTGGCAGCACGGACTCTTAAGCACTGGACCGCCAGGGAAGTCTGTGATAGGGAAGTCTGTGATTAATTTCTAATGACCCTTCTTAGAGTGTTCATCAGTGTCAGCCAGAGCCATTAAACCAACACGCAGCTCAGTGAACACAGTTCTGCTGGTGTCAGAGCAGTGTGATCCACGCCCACAGCTCTGCTGGCTTAATTCTGGGATAAACTTTAGAGTCTCTCATTTAAGGAAGGGAATGCATGTTCTTCCAGCAGTCCTCCCTCATGATTTGTTTCACCCAAACGTTTGCTAAGTATTTGGCAGTAGTTTGGCAAGTTTCTGGAAGGTAGATATTTTGTATTACCGATGGGAGATCTATCTGTAGACTCTCACTGCAGGTAAATATGAGGGCTCTTTTTTTTTTTTGGCTGCGTGGCATGTGGGATCTTAGTTCCCTGACCAGGGATCAAACCCATGCCCCTATAGTGGAAGTGCAGAGACCTAAACACTGGACCGCCAGGGAAGTCCCCAAATTTGAGGGCTCTTTTAACTGCCCACTTACTTGTTTCCAGTCATGTGTATAGACACATAGAGTGCTTGCTGCTGGTGCCCTGTCATCTTGTCTGTGTCTTACTTAAATGCCAACTAATAAGATTATAAGCATCAGACATTTTAATGCACAGAATTATTATATAAGCTCCATTTGAAAGGAGACTGAGCTTTAGGGGAATATCTGGTACCAATAAGAAACTCATTCATTCATCAAATTTAATAGAGCACCTACTAAGCATCGAGCACCATGGTTAGTATCGGGGACTGTGTACCCTGTTGCTTTCCTTTGATCAGGAATTTGAAAATTCCCACCTGATCTCATTTCCCAGTGGAGAAACAGGTAGAGACCTGGAACCCACATCTTTAAGACTTAGAAATTCTGGGTGATCACCATAAAGATATGAGACCTGGCAACTGGATAACCAGTTAGAAGGAAATAAACCTGTTTTTTTTTTTTTAAGTTTTGAAGGTTCTCTAGCCTTTTTATTTTCACTCGAAGTTTAATTCATTTTAAATTTCCCCTTTGGTTTTCTTTTCTCATCATTACAGGAAATTGAGTACAAATTGTACAATTTTCTTCATTGTTTCAGATTTTGAGATCCAGAGTGAAAATGGGGAGAACTCTAACCAAGACATATTTGAGGATGTTGAATCACATGAAATGTTCTCCGAAATGCCTGAAGGGGAAGGCATTCCACAATCTGACTGGGAAAGTGACTTAGAGAGAGACTGCAGCTCCAGGGGGCCCCGGGGAAACACCCCGGGGGAGGACCATGGGGAGGTGCCACCCCAGGGCAGGGAAGTTGGACAGCTCATAGGCCTTCAGGGCACCTACCTGGGTGAGAAGCCCTATGAGTGTCCCCAGTGTGGGAAAACATTCAGCCGGAAATCCCACCTCATCACGCACGAGCGGACCCACACAGGAGAGAAATACTACAAATGCGACGAGTGTGGAAAAAGCTTTAGTGATGGTTCCAACTTCAGTAGACACCAAACTACTCACACTGGGGAGAAACCTTATAAGTGCAGGGACTGTGGGAAAAGCTTCAGCCGGAGTGCAAACCTCATAACCCACCAGAGGATCCACACGGGGGAGAAACCCTTCCAGTGTGCTGAGTGTGGCAAGAGTTTCAGCCGGAGACCCCACCTC